GTGAAGTTGGGACGGTGGATGATTCTGAATTGGAGAGCCATTATTCCGATGAAACATCATCCGAAATGCCACTGCATGAAAGCCCACAATTCCAATCGAATAGCGTTCCAGAAGAGGATGGTCCACCAACTCCAAGAAACATCAGTCCTTCTAGCATCTCATCGGATCCGGCAAAGGAGAACAGAAGAATATCCCTGCCCGAGTTTTCAGGACTTCTCGCCGATAATACAGACTTGAGTCTGAGTCTGAGATCGTACATGACACCATCCCCTGAACCTCAAAACGAACAGGAGAGAAAGGTCTCTCAGATGTCAGAGGCACATGAACATCTCCAAGGATCCAAAACACCAGAGGCGGACGATGAAGCTGCGCACCAGGCACCAATCAATGAGCGTAAAGCAAGTGTGGCGGAAACTGAACCAGAGACAGAAACAGAGACTGAGGGAGAGACCGAGGCAGAGACCGAGGATGGTACTCCAGAGCCACAGCAGATTGTTCCCGAGCCTCAAGAGGAACCTGCTCCCATGTCGCCACTCAAGAAAATGGTTTCACGTCCAGAATATGATGGATCTGAATGGGGACCACAAGAAGATGATGAGGAGGACGAGATGTCAGAGTCAGATTCAGTGATTCATCATCCAGTTGATGAGCCAATTGACCATCCATTCAGAGCATCTTTGGACCAACCATTTAGATCGTCGATTGATCAGCCATTCCAACACCCATTCATCAATCCTCCTAAGATCTCTCCTACACCACCACCACCCTCGGATTCTCCTGGGATTCCCGAAACAGTAGCTACTATCAAAGCCCGCAGCGGATCCAAACTCAAGACTAGGCCCTCCGTAACACCTTCTGACCTAGCAGCCATGCGTGAAGCTCGGCGTCAAGTCAGTGGTGCTGGTCCTGTCGTTCCCCCAATCCCCCAGCGACACCGCAATCGCCCTTCATTAAATGGAGAGCAAGACCCCGAGGATGAGGATAATGATAACGATGATGATAATGATGCGGAGAGGGGTACCATACAGCGAGCTCCCAGCTTCAAAAAGCGAAGTCTCACACTAGACATCGGCGGTGATCTTGGACTAAACTTGGAGTCAGATTTCGACCGGGTCATTGAATCTTCAAAGGTAGCATATGTTTTAACTTCTCCTCGCCCGACTTTCCTTACTGGTGGACCTGGACAAGCGTCCGAATTGTACAACCTAACCGAAAAGGATGATCATGCTAACAGGAGTCCACGACAGCGAGGATATTTGATGCGACAAAATACCAAGGTAGTTGTTGCTAGCAGCGACGAAAGAGAGCCACGGAATACCAAATCGGTCGGAAACTCGCCTACCAAACCAGATAATCGACCACAGTCTTGGGTCGTTGAACCATGGAACGGCTCTCGCAGAAGCAGCGCCCGACCTTCCAGTCCACGCAAGAAGCCTCCAACCGGACCAGTCCCTCCAATGCCGGGTCATGAAAGTAATGCCACTGGCTTAGGTATCGTAACAGAAGGTCAGGTCGCAGAGCCTGCATCTGATGAAGCTAGTGAGCGAGGGAGGTTGTTCGTGAAAGTCATTGGAGTGAAGGACTTGGACCTTCCCTTACCCAAAAGTAGGTCTTCACTCAATCATTACCTTTTTGACACACTAACATGAGAATAGATGAACGATCATGGTTCAGCCTGACTTTGGACAATGGTGTGCACTGTGTTACTACAGCATGGTTAGAGTTGGGACGAAATGCTCCTATTGGACAAGAGTTCGAACTTGTTGTGCCAAATGAGCTTGAGTTTCAATTAACATTGAATGCAAAACTTGAGAAGCCACCACCACCAAAGCGCGCCCAGACTTCTCCGATCAAGGCATCAAAACCTTCAAAACCTTCGACTTTTAGCCGAGTATTTGCTTCACCAAAGAAGAGAAAGGAACTTGAGATGAGGCAAAAGGAAGAAGAACAACGCATTGCACAACAAAAACAACAAGACGCTCAAGCATTGAAGAAATCATCGCAGCCAACTGCGTGGGATCTCCTCTCACCGCTTGCTGCTGCAGATGGTAGCTTTGGTAGATCTTACGTTTGCCTAAAGGATCATGAGACTCGCTGCTTCGGAAGACCTTATAATGTCGATGTGGCTGCTTTCAATGAATGGGCTACTGAAGAGGTCAGTCAATCATCGAGTGTCATGAGCAAACGTAGCGTTCCTCCTCCAGTTCGAAAGCGCGCTCCCTATACCATTGGAAAGTTACAATTACAGCTCCTTTTCGTGCCAAAACCAAAGGGTGCAGGTGATGATGACATGCCCAAGAGTATGAATGCGTGCATCCGCGAGATGAAGGAAGCCGAACTCGAGGTTGCTCGACAATTTGAGGGCCACCTGAGTCAACAAGGTGGTGACTGTCCTGTAAGTTTTTACATACCCACATGATCTGATCATTACTAACACACTTCAAGTTCTGGCGTCGTCGTTTCTTCAGATTATCAGGAAGCAAACTCACGGCTTACCACGAGTCAACCAGGCAACCTCGTGTCACTATCAATCTTGCAAACGCCAATAGACTGATTGATGATCGCAGAGCACTAACACAAAAAGAGACTACTGCCAAATCTGGTAAACGTCGCAAGTCTGGTTTTGCTGAAGATGAGGAAGGTTACATGTTTGTTGAAGAGGGTTTCCGTATTCGATTCAACAATGGTGAAGTCATTGATTTCTACGCAGACTCACCAGCCGACAAAGAAGCATGGATGTCTGTTCTCGACCCTTGTGTAGGAAAAGAACGTGCAGGTGGTAAAGGTGGTTGGTGTGAGATGGTCCTCAAACGGGAAGAACATATAATGAGGAAAGCTTCCGGAGCTTCGGGCAAGGGCCGATCACATTCGAGAGTCAAGAGCACCATTTTTTGATCTCTCTTCTTCGCGTTTACTCCGTCGGTTTACGTCGCCTTTACAACAACTGAAAGGGGTCTTCCTTTTCTTGTATTACTTTCTGCCCGGGCGGCCTTCATTCTATTTCGGCAAAACATTGTTTCTTCTCGTGCGAGTTCGGCTAGAAGTAGATAAAAAGTTTCGTCAACATTATTGACAGTCACAGGCACCATTTTTGTTTTATACGTCATCTTTTGATATGGAAGCGAGCGGGTTCATGGTTGGGGTGGGGGAAGTGGGAGCATAATTCTTGACTTTTTTGTCTCATTTGCGTTTTCACAACTGCTTTTGTAAGATTTCTGGTTTGAGTAGCCTTAGCTAGTTTTTTCTTTTGGCATGCGAAGGCAACAAACTTATTGTTTTGTTTTAAGGATTAGGTTATCTTTGTTTTTCTACCGTTGTTTACCTTTCCTTTTGATTGGTTGGTTTGCAGTTTGGGTTTCCTTTCTTTGGGAATTGGATTGGAATGGGGGGTTTAAGGGGATTGTGGAGGAGAATGGATTTGAGAGGGGGTGGTTGAAGACGCGTGGGGAGGAGATCAGATGAGATGGTGTGGTAGAAGGAAGATTGTCATTGGAACTTGGTGACAAGAAGAAGGTTGATTCGATTTCAGTAATGATTCGTGATGGATGTGATGAGGAGATGAAATACACGTATACGTATGAAGGGAGGGAAAGAGAAGTTTCATGAGTTTGATTGGGAGGTGTGAGGAGAAGGTGTAGTGAGGGAGTAGTGTGTGAGTGAGGAATGGGAAATGGAAATGAGAAAATGAAAAAGAATATTCAATTTATATTTTATGATTTGTCTTTTGTGATGATGTGATGATGTGATTGATGTGAACTGATCTGATGTAATGTGTGAGTAGGTAGGTAGGTACTCATTTCGGTCAGTGGATGTGGCATGCTGGCTATGTACTAGAGGCATGGATAGCTTACGTAACAGACGTAGTAGACATATTTAAGTAGCTTAGCTTTAGCTTAATGACAAGACAGCTTTTACAACCCATTACATTCTATACCTATCAGTGGAGATGATATGTGTATATTCGTATTCATATTTATAATATATATATATATATATATATATATATATATACCTATCTAGATAGGTATAAATATCTATCAGTAAGCAGTACGATAGAAGTAGAATCTTTTTTCTTTAATTTAAGTAAGTAAGTGAATGAATGAGTTTCTCTTTCGAGTTTCTTTTTCTAAAAAAAAATTTCAAATATTTTTTCCAGTCTTTTTTTCTAATCTTTTTTTTAAATCTCTTTCAAATCTCTTTTAAATCTCTTTCAAATCTCTTTTAAATCTCTTTCAAATCTCTTTTAAATCTCTTTTAAATCTCTTTTAAATCTCTTTTAAATCTCTTTTAAATCTCTTTTAAATCTCTTTTAAATCTCTTTTAAATCTCTTTTAAATCTCTTTTAAATCTCTTTTAAATCTCTTTTAAATCTCTTTTAAATCTCTTTTAAATCTCTCTTAAATCTCTTTTAAATCTCTTTTAAATCTCTTTTAAATCTCTTTTAAATCTCTTTTAAATCTCTTTTAAATCTCTTTTAAATCTCTTTCAAATCTCTTTCAAATCTCTTTTTCAAATCTCTTTTCCAAATCTTTTTTTTAAATCTCTTTTTTAAATCTTTTTTTCAAATCTCTCTTCCAAATTCCAAATTCTAAGTCTCTTATAGAAATATCTACCTACCTCATAGAATTCTTGATTATCGATTAACCTGCCTACTTTACTTCATTTAGTTCACTTCACTTCTCCTCTCAAAATCATTTACTTCTCTCAAAATCATAATCATAATCTAGTATACATATATATAAGGTTAGGAAAAGAGAAGAGAAGAGGAGAAAAGAGGGAAGAGAAGAGGAAAAAGAGAAGAGGGAAGAGAAGAGGGAAGAGAAGAGGAGGTGGAAGAAGAAAGTAGGTAGATAGAGTAAGAAATTGAATAGCTGGATTGTCAGAGGTTTATCAAGTTAGTATCACGCATACATGCAATTTACCGAAGATCATCTACCGGTAACCCTATCGTGAACTTGAACACTTTGGATGTAATCCATAGTTATATTGGCATTAATATTCAGTCAGTCATTCAACTACGAGTAGTTTTGCCAAACAAGTACTCTGAAAGAATATTTGAAATCTCGATATTCTATAAAGAATGTAGAAGGAAGTGAAGCTGTGATTCTCTGATACCTAGTATATAAAGTAGCGCTATACCCCCCGGAAAATCCAAGAGTGATTTTCCCGCTGAATGGGCAATCGTAGATATCCCTCTCCGCCAAATACATGAATGCCGCGTCCCCGAGAAGTCTACCAATCAAAGAAAACGCGATCCAAGAAGTGCACGTGAATCTCTGACTTCACCTCTATAATCTCGCAAAACAAGATAATCGTGTGAATAGTTATGTTTCTCTCGCACATGTCTCCGCAAATTTTCTAGGTGCAAAAACCCCTTTTCATGATTTTCTCGGTGAAAATAGCAACTTCGTTCCGGACAGAAATACCCCACTTTAGATTCGCAGCATTGGCCTTTATGCAATGACAGAATCCTCTGAGAGTAGAATTCTAAGTCACAGGATTCGCATTTATACGTTTCAAATGGATCGCTTTGGGAAAAGGGGTTGGAAGCCAATTCTTGATCAGTGTTAGAGCCAAAAGTTGATTGTTGATTAAAATTAGACCGAACAGCTGGCTGTTGTTGATCGAGGGTAGGTCGTGCGATAGGTTGTTGATAGGGATTAGTTCGGAAAGCTGGTTGTTGATGGTGGGTGGGTGAGAAAGTTGATTGCTGATTGAAACTCAATTGAGAAATCGATGGTCGGTTCAGACTGGGTTGGAAAGCTGGTTGTTGATCAAAGGCAGTTTGAAAAGCCGGGTATTGATTAGTGATATTTTGGATACCTGATCGCTGATCGAGAGTGATTTGGAAAGCTGGCTGCGGACTAGGGTTAGGGTAAATAGCTGGATTTTGTTGATAAAGATTAGATTGGAAAGTTGGTTGTTGATGGGAGTTCGAGTCAAAAACTGGTTGTTCATGTGAGCTAGATTGGAAAGCTGGTTGTTGATTAAAGGGTAATTGGAATACTGAGTGTTGATTGGTGGTACTTTGGATAGCTGATTGCTGATCGAGAATAGTTTGGAAGGCCGGTTGCTGATCAGGCGAAATTTGAGAAGCTGGTGTGTGAATGATCCCTTCCAAAAATTGTGATGATGGTGTACCAGTTGAAGCCTGGTCTGGGAAAGATGTTTGGTGCGAAGGATGAATTTTACTATTCGAGGAACTGGTTTCATCGGCTGGGATGGCAATGTGAGGAAACTTGCGGAACCTATAGAAATAATGATAATTAGCTGATTGTGATGAGTATCAGGCTAGGTGAATAGGTCAAGAAATTTGGAAGTAGCTGAAGCGAGGAACGAAATATGGAAAACATACATCGTATCGGCATGAGATTCCAAAGTGCTTTTCAGCGAAGACTCTACACAATACAAACATGTAAGAAGTTCTCCTTGCTCGGTAATCTTAGGGACAATGGTCCACATCGTTTCGAAAGAAGTATTGAATGCCCTCTTGCAATACGGACATAAAAAACGTTTCGCTTCCGTAGAAATCGGTGTGTAGATTTTTCTGGGTCTTGCTTCTATTGTTTCCTCCGTGAATTGTAATTTCTCTCTGATGGAAGGGATTTCACAATGAGGGCATTTAAGAACCTCCTCTTGTTCCATATCAACAGGGGCAATATGTGACATCGATTCGCGAGTGTTTATATAACTCTTTGTGCAATACGGACAGGTATAACGTTTCACTTGCTCGGTATTGACATAGTTATAATCTTCATTCGGCGGATTTTTTGTGGAAGGCGAATTTGGGGTATCCGGCATCTCTTCATTATTTGACAGAGGTACTTCCGAGAAACCATCATTATATAGTTCTCCAAGCGTTGCTTGCTCATCTATAGTTCTACCAGCCATGATGAGATCCTTGTCAGTGGTAATGGAAATGTCGATGCCCTCCGATGAGCTATTGGCTTGCAACAAACAGTTACGACCAATTGCTCTTTAACGAACGATTTGTTCGGGATTATAAATGTTTAGTGTGCTAATACAATATGCTATTAGTCTCTCCAAGAAATAAACGCAGTCAAGTTCAAATGAGAATAACTTGAGAGAAGTAATAAGCTTGATGTTTTGTTGCAGGATGACTTAGCTGGAAGTTTTAGGATGAATATGACTTGGTAACTATTGCGCCTGCCGCGTTTTCCTTACAGAATTGAAATAGGAAACGACGAGATTGATCTAGCATTCGCCACAATGAGAGCTTCAAATATGAAGAAACCCATCTGGGCATTGCTTGTCTCGAATTCACAAATATGCCTTCTCTAGTTTGACCATTTTGAAAAAGAGAGTGTATTTGGACGCGGCGGGCCACTTTTTGAAGAAAGTAAGTGAAGGTAGATAATGGATCATGTTTTGATGTCGACCTGTGATTGAATTCGAGTATCAAAGAATACGGTGATATCGTCAGAGTGCCAGATCTAACCTGGCTTTCGTTCGACTGTTTCCCAAGACATTAGATGTACCAATTCTTAGATTATTGGATCTGTCTGAATCACGAACCTCGCGACGCTTCTTACCCAAAGCACACCATCACAAACGCAATATAAGTCGGGAAAGTCACCTTTTGTAAATATTGTTTGTCTCCAAGCTTATCTTGCATCCTTGTAGTCTTCCCATCTCATAATTAGATGGGACGATCCACCTCTCCCCAACACCAGTCCTCACTGGACCAACCTTCGTTTGCTTTCCTCCACTCTCCTACATCATCGACTTCTTCTTTTCCAACCTTCAACCCATTATAGATGTGAGGAAAGAATCCCGCTTTTCCCTCTGTATCCCAACATCCGCCTATTTCTTCGGGTTGCTTTCCCACTGCATTCTCCCATTTGATGTATGGAGCTACTTGCTCATACTTGATGCGGAGAATGTAGACGTGGGACTCGTTTCTAATTGAGCGTTAATTAGGGGCAATGACACGGAGAAGATGCCAAGATACGCTGGAAAGAATGTAGAAATCGAAGGAAGACGGTACAAGAACATACGAGAAAAATGCATTCAAAGTTCTTAGTAATTGCTTCGAGGTAGAGCAGTGAACAAATCCATCTCTCTTATCGAGATCAGAGACTGGAAGGACTTCTGGAAGTGGTGAAGTAGGTTTCGCATCAGAAGGAATGATTTTGTAGATATAAGTTGGATGTGTTGAAGTCATTTTTACGTTTGTTGCACGTGATAGATTATTGATTCCTATCGAAATGGATCTCTATGTGAAAATATAGATATATAGCGTTGATTATGAGAGTCTCTTGCTGTTCAATGAAGGAGACAGATGAACCTGTGTTGTGTGATGCGAGAGTGAGTGGAAGTGATGTGACGATGAGTAGGTACCTGGAAGAAGTAAACGAGCAGGGAAAACTTCGGTACAATACACGATCCTTTCAAGTCTTTTTATAGCCAGCGCTTTGATAGGACAAAGGAGGAATTATGTCAAGCATTTTTAGAATTTCAGCAGCAATAAAAACAAATCGAAGTTTAGACATTATTCCAAACAAAAGCATACGTTCAGAAACAAAATCATGGCGACACTCCCGGTGAGCGTTGTAGTAGGTAGTCGATGTCAATCGATCTATGTGATGTCGACGCATAGACCAATCAGAGCAGGGATAAAAGCTATGATGGATTGATCTCCAGTCACACGTGACCATCTCACCGCTCTCGCTGGCAGAATTCGTTTTGCCCCGAAAAAAAGTTGATGGAAAATATTCGTACTGTGAGGAAAAGAAAAAGAGAGTTTAGTCTTCAAGAACACGAAATAACTTCAACTTCTCAAAATCATCAATCACCATGTCGTCAGACGAAATCGTTTGGCAGGTTATTAACCAACAATTCTGCTCTTTCAAGCTCAAGTACGTTGATTCATTATATAAATAGCTCTTTTCATCTACTAATGATATCAGGACTACGAAGGATCAAACTTTTTGTCGCAACGAATACAATGTTACTGGTCTCTGTAATCGACAATCATGTCCTCTCGCAAACTCCCGATATGCTACTATTCGCGCAAATCCTCAAACCGGTACACTTTACCTTTACATGAAAACAATTGAAAGAGCACACATGCCATCGAAATTATGGGAGCGCGTAAAGCTATCTTCCAACTATGCCAATGCATTGGTACAAATCGACGATAAATTGAAGTACTGGCCCAACTTCCTCATTCACAAGTGCAAGCAGAGACTCACAAGATTGACGCAAGTCGGTGTTCGCATGAGAAGATTGGCCAAAGAGGAAGATAGATTGGGCGAAAAACTTGTTCCAAAAATGGCGCCTAAGGTTAGAAGAAGAGAAGAAACCAGAGAAAGAAAGGCAATGGCAGCTGCTAAGGTTGAGAGAGCGATTGAAAGAGAATTGATTGAAAGATTGAGGAGTGGTGCTTATGGTGATCAACCATTGAACGTCAGCGAATCTATTTGGAAGAAGGTTTTGAAAGGTCTGGAGAGACAAGGAGAAGGAACTAGAGATGAGGATATGGATGAAGGGATCGAAGAGGATGAGTTTGAGGAAGAAGGAGAATATGAAGATGAAGAGGGCGTTGGCGACGTAGAGTACGTTAGTGACTTGGGAGAAGATGAAGAGGATTTGGAAGATATCGAGGATTGGCTTGGAAGTGATGAGGAGGAAGCTACTGGTGAAGAAGATAGCGAAGATAGTGAGAGTGACAGCAGCGAGGATGATAAGGCTAAGAAGAATGCTACTGGCGCAAAGAGAAAGAGAGCACCAATTTCCAAAACCAAGCCAAAGAAGAGAATCTCGAAGATGGAAGTCGAATACGAACAAGAGCTCGAAGGACCACAACGAGAATTGGCTTTCTAATCTGGGAATGCATGGACTTTCATTATACCTGGGGTTGGGCGTTCTTTATAGGTGTTGGTGCTCTTGGTCCCTCAAAAATAGCTGTTAATTTATAGTACTGTAGACAGCTTTCTTACTTGGCTATGTATATCAAAGCAAGCGAAATTCAAGAACACTTTCTGGAAGAAAGAACCAAATGAATTATTGACTGATTAACTTATTGTGATTAATTCCATATCAATTTTAATACCGGTACCATCAGTGGCTCTTTCATCGGCCTCCCTATTAGTCTCATCCTTTGGCGTGGTGGGGTCAGATCTCTATCTTGCAGCGAAACCTGGGAAGTTTCAACTTAATACTTCCTCTCCATAAATTCATAACTTCATAACTAATTTGCGACACCATTCTACAAAACACCATAAATTCAAGACCAGCCATACTTTCGAAACAATAACAACAAATTCTTTGAATTTATTGTCGGTGAATCACCGCATACCAACCGACTTCAATTGCGACACACAACCTTAGCCATCGCTGGTCCAACAACGGTCCTTAAATCAACACAATGTACTCCTCCTATCTCAACTCTATTACCTCCAAAGTAACCTCGATCCGACAAAACATATTCCAAGGCGAAGCCGACGGCGATACAGAAGATGACACCTATCTCTGCCGCGTAATGCGCACCTATTATCTCCAAGAAAAGAAACAAAATCTGCCAGCGTGGCTTCCCCCCGATCCACGCGGTCCAGCACCTGCTCCTGTCGTCCAACCAATGTATACCCAACCCGTCGGTTCGACATATGGTCAAGCGTCTCCTACACCAGGCGGCTCACAAGGATTAAACAGTCTCTTCGGCGGCGCGACAGGAAGAACAAATGCGCCTTCGCCACCACCAGGGAGTTTGCGCGCCGCGAGAGGAACAGCCGGTCCGGCTCGCACTCAGAGTCCATTCGCGAGTCAGCAGGGTGCAGGCGCAACGGGCAGTTTATCTGCGCGAGATAGATTGAAGATGGGGAGATCGAAGGGCAGCGCGATGAATACCAATGCGAGTGCGTCGGGTGGTGATGCGAGCTATGATTCGGGAGGAGAGAAACCGTTTATGGCGGCGACGAGCCCGTGGGCTTCGAATGAGGCGGAGTTTGGTGGTGGGGGGTATGAACCGCCGGCGCCGAGGAGGGGGATGGGATTACCCAGTGGAGGACCTGGAGCGGGAAGGAGACCGGGTTTACCGAGTGGACCTAGATCGGGGAGATGATTGGAAGGGAAAGGGGAAGGGGAGATGTGTATTTTGGGGGCTGACTGTGAATATCTGACGCTGGCCGTGGTCGTGGGATTTTGGTGCATGGCATGGAGTCTTAGATGGTATGGTGTTAAGGAATGGTCATATTTTATCGAGTGGTGGTGTATGGAGTTGATACTTTAATCTAGCATGATAGGTTCGGAGCAGTGGAGCAATGGTATTTTGAAATAATAAATTAATCCATCTGGTTCTGCGTGCCCATATCATGCGCTTGTTTTTACACCTTTCTCTTCTCTACCTTTTCGCCTCAGATGGCTTCACTATAAATACACGTAACCCATCCATCTATCCTTTTCTCTTCAAATCTCTAAGCAGAGTTTGCAACAGAGAAAAGGGGTGACGCTATTCCAAAACTCAGAACGCGCCGCAAGTGCTCCCTCTAAATACCTGATCTCTCAGATTTCTGGAATATTCAGCAAAAATACACCATCATTGTCAATCCACTATCGCTATTCAATTCTCATCACTGCCATTTCTATCTTTCGGACATCCCATATACACCTTCATGAATAACAGTGAGAGGCGTAAACCGACAACATATATTGGAACTATCACTCCAACTCGCATTGCCTATTACACTCGCTCCAACTCCAACAGCCATCCAAGAGCGGAGCTCAAAAGGGACGTCATATCACATTCTCACTCTCCATTCCTGTACGTGATCACGAAAGCTATCATTTCATATTCTCGAACCCAACAAGCAGCGCCACGCCTTATATACCCAACCACAAGTATCCAAACCCTGCTGTGCACACCACATACTCACAGACACCAGAGTGCATAAGTGAATCCACTCCCCCCTATCTTTTCCCCACTCCTCTCTCTCCGCAAAACCGAGCTGGAAAACCCACGAATATCAGTATATAACAACTCCACTTCGACTATACATTTCCTCTCCAGATATCACACGTTCCAGGCGGAAACGGAAAATTATGGGAGGTGAGAAGTGTGTTGATGAATCTACTTCGAACCAATTTGAATCATTGGTATCATTATGATAGCCAAGATCCGTCAAGTTGGATTTTCTTGCTTGATTTGTAGGGGACGAATGGGGAATTGTTATTATTGTGATTATTGTCATTGCTATTGTCGTTATTATCATTATCTTCACCATCAGTCATTTCTTGAAATCTCATTAATAGACTATATTCCCTTACCGACAATGAGTATGCTATTGATTTGACGAAAGTTTTGCCCCTGTTCACGGACGAAGAGCTTCGCATCTTGACTTCTATTGATTTTGTGGAAATAGGTCACAGTGGGAAATGAATTGATAGAATTTAGGGTATAGTTCATTCCATTTTGGTTTGACTAAAGAGAAAGCTAGGATATAGTTGTACTCTCTACGAGGATCTGTTTTATATACCTACACATCTATGAGATTTTCTGGGGAGCGGGTCGCTAGGATATCTTTCCTTCCTGCATACGACCAGGATTTACATTTGATTATGATACTATACACTCTATGACATCATTTCGATATCATGGCTACGTTTATAGATTTGTCTTTCGAATGGATACTTGAAGAGTCTTTAAATTGAAGATGTATCTAAACTTGCTTTTTTGGCATATTTTACATCTTTATCACAGATGATTTATTTAGCATTAGCATTGGTATAGTAGTGCACCAGTGACTATTCGATACTACATTGTCTCGTACTGTTCTCTTAGAAGAGAGCTCTCTCGAAACCGTCTTGAAGGGTGTGATTCGAGGTCGTCAAATGGATAGTGTAGCCTTGTTACTTCCCTTATATTCTCCATCGATGCAATCCATTACATGAATTTTACCATCAGACCCAGTAAAATACTCATCAGCTGATCGATTCATATGTTCACGTTTCTGTGGGCATAAAACCTCGAGTATAATTCCAGAGATGATATCTGACGTGGAAACTCTGCAGATCGACCTCTCTAGAAGCAATCGACTCAAGCTACAAGTCTAACTCATGAAGACCTCTAGAATTCTATTCTACTTTGAGATCCGCAAACAGAGTCTAGATAGGTACCTAATGATGAATATTTTTATCCATCCACACCCAACAAACCTCTAGAAGAGACGAATATACTCCAGTGAAACCGGACAAGAAACAGAAACAGAAATGAAACTACCATCACTACCACATATATACCACTTAAACCGCGACCTACACTACACAATTCTCTTACTTTCAAAGTCCTCCCATCGCAACTCATTTCTCAATATTAATGACCAGTCGAATGCTAATTTTACTCATTCCATTGACCGTAATCTAGTCGTACATTTTCGAAGGCCAGTTTTGAGATCTATATGTTGTGAAGACTTATCTCGATTTCATGCAATGCTTCCTGCCATTCTCACGTTAGGAATAAATAGATTTTGGGCGTCAAGAAAGGTTCGAATAATCCCATCACCACTGTCTATTGTGACAAGAAGTTGGACGCTTATTATTTATCATCTTCATTTCTTCTACTTTGATTTGCTAGATTCTTGCAAGTAGACTCGGGTTCTAAGGGTCATTTTTGGTGTTACTTGTCTATCCATAATTTCTATAAACTTGCAGATTATTGAAGACGGCCTTGAAGAGGACTCGCTTCAAAAGTGAACAAGATATTGATATTCAATCATGAAATGCTTACACTACGAACGCCCCCTCCAGTGTCAAAACACATGATTATACCCAACTCCCATGCATTCATGCACCCATCAATTCATTACATATACCAACAAAGCTAATTCTGTATCCTCCATCCATCTATCCAACTCACAAAGCCGAGAAACCCAATTTGCCAAATAGACTATCCATCGCAACCCACTGCCTACCACATTTATCCAGATATTTCTCCACAACACTTTTTAGCGTACCAAATCTGACTCGGTTGTGTTCTGCTAATGCTGAAACGAGTTCTATTTTCATGTTAGTTTCTGTCTCACGAATTCCTTTCAAGATAGGAAAGTAAAAGAAGCCTTACCTTTCTCCGTACCCCTAGCATTACTCTTCGCCTTATCCACATCAAACAAACTGGAGAAGCAAAGCAATTGGTTATACATCATTTTCTCGGTGTATTCATATCGCATTTTGCCCAAACATCCTTGAGCCAACCCCTTTGGTCCCAAGCATCTATGACCATAAACACTCATTTGTCTGGTACGATTACCACATGCTTGATCATCGCACACGAGCCAGCCTTCATAATATTTACATGTTTCTTGACGAATTTGATGTTCGAGTTGTGTCATGATGGAAAGGGTTGAGAGAGTGGTGCCACAGCGACAGATTATACCGGACGGAGAGCAATTCTCCATACTATTGAGTATACCTTCGAATCCGAACATAGCTTTGCATGATCGACAGCGGAGAGTGAGACGAGTTGAATCCTTAAAGCGCACAGAATCATCAATTTGACTCTCGAGGGGATGGATTTCTGCTTCATTGCTGCCCGCCGAGTTGTTGTTATTGATGCTATATTTGCGTGCATCAAGTCCGAGACAATCAGCCAGGCGTACTGTATCAGTGCCGGAGATGTTTGCACACAATCTTTCGACGGGTGGGAAAATTTGTTTGTAAAGATACCATTCAACGTCTGGCTTGAGACCTGAATCGCGCTTCATTACATCTTGAGGGGTAAATGAACGTTTAGCGGCATTCTCAGATGTTTTCCCTTCTCCTGTCACGATGTAGGCGATAACATCATCTTTTCGGACCTGTTTCCCCTTGGCCAATTCCCGTAAAGCAACTTG